TGCCCTGGATTGTGCAACAAGCCTTTACCTTGCAGTGCCCGACTGTCCCCCTGCTCACTAAAGCTACTTATCTCAGGAAAGCTCGCATAGGGTCCGGGAGTGAACCCACAGACAAAAAGTGGAACTTCGGCAGGGCTGGAGAAACTGCTGGTTGGTGCCTTTCCCCCTCCTTCCTTCCCACTGTCTTCACCCCCTCCCCTCAGTCTCCCATGCAGTGCCCTGAGAGCTGGAAGCTGATGTCAGGGGCCTGAATTCCTGACTTTGCATGCACGCATTTGTCCATCTAAGGTATGGGAAGACGGGTGCCCGGGAGCCGCATGGCACTGCCTACTGGGGGAGAGGGTGCCCGCGGCGGGCAGAAGTTGTGCCAAAAGGTGGGAGCACAGCAGATATTTTATTTCCTGGAAATGAGAAGAGGAGACCTAGGGATGCAGGATGTGTCTCCTGGCTCTGGGCCCCTGTGACCCAGGAAGCCAAGCCTGGCAGGAGAGCTCCGTGGCTCTGGCCAGTGCCGCCATCTTTGTCACATCAATTTGCATATTCCTTCCTTATTGGCTGTGGGCACCATCATCTTTATCACAATGTGATGGTTAATTTGCATATTACTCTTTTATTAGGAGATAGTTATATAGTTATATAGTTACGGAGTCAAGATATCTAAAGTAGAGTGTAAATAACTCTTTTCACAACCTACCTACCAATATTACCATTTGTTTCCAGTATACACACATACCACCAATATTCCAGGCAGTGTGGCTTTCTCATTCATCCTCAAATACGTGATTATTCCTAGTTGTGTACTATCATTAAAAATAACTACCAGCACTTATTTAATATTAAAAATTTTCAAAGAACTCTGACCAAGTTCATTTTATTTGATTGTAAAAACATCCCTATCAAAACCAATAAGGGTCACTGTATTTCCTTCTTTATAGATGAGGAAACTGAGGTTTGGTTAGAGAAAGTGATTTAGTCTTAAGCACTTGCCTAGCAATTAGCAAAATGGAAGCAAAAATGTAGGTTCAGAGCCCAGTGTTCTCCCGTATTTTAAGGGTATGGCTTCTCTTCATATAACCGAATTCTACCTATTCTTCAAGATCCTTCTCTTCCAACTTACCTTACTGCCTATCTCCATCCTCTTCATAAAAAAAAATTATTCCCTTCTCTGAAGTCCCACTAATCACAGTCATCTCACTGCCCATTAATTTTTGTATTCATTGACAGTGTATTCTATGGCGTTACATAGTACTCTCTATGTATATTTCCTGGCTACTCTACTGTGCCACAAGCTTCTTGAGGTCTCCTCTGCTGTACCTTAGTACCCCCCTGGAGCACCAACCAGCCCTTTTGTTTTGCCTTTGTTCAAGCCTGCCTGATATCTCTTCATCTGCCTCCAGCCTTTGACATCCCTATCTTTGTTAACAGAGGCCTTGGGGCATGACCAATTTTCCATCACAGGTAGTCTTGGTAGCACTGTCAATCAAGGTCCTTTACCCTCCCTTGGACAAGGGGTGTTCTTGTTCTGCACATTAGGCTAATTAGTTTCTCTTTCTAATTAGAATTGGAATCAAACATAGGGAGAGGAGGAGAAAAATGGTTGGAGCTAATACACCCAAAAGACAACTTCCTGAAAAGACTTTTGATTAATTCCTGCTCCTTGCATTCTCAAAGCTGACATAGTTTCTGTTCTTTTAAAGGCCAAGTTCTTTCCCCTTTGTTCAGTTTCTGACTGAGCTACCTTATACCCTCCCATTAAATTCCTTTTTTTTTTTTGCTTACATCAGGGAGAGTCACTTTCTGTTGCTTGCAAACAAAGAACCCTGTCTGATACAGTACCCACAAAGCTTAGTGCCTAGGGAGTGCTGAGTATTTTTAAATGTTCTGTTTTTATGCAGATTATATGTTATTATAAGCTGAAAACATAAACAATGTTGGTGCAACATTGCTATTGGTTAGAATGTTAATAACCAGCAGGCAAGCATAGGCCAAGCTAACACTGGGACCTCATCTGCATGGAAATGATTTTTATTACAATTCAGTCCCCTAGTTTGGTGACTCACAAAGTGATAATTCACTGCTGAAAATTAACAAAACATTTCCTGGTAAGGGTAGTACTTATAGTAATGATACCCTTTAGTGATATTTGACATTTAGGTTAACCCCTCTGTTTTCCTTCTCTTCCCAAATATTGCAGGAGCCAACTGTGGCCATCTGAATTTTTAATATGACTTTACTACAAGATACATCTAATAAGTTTAACTGGCTCCTTTGTAGCTAGGTGAATATTTTAACATACTCTATAGCTTCTTGTGAAAAACGTCGAATTGCAGTTTTAAATTCACTGAGAAAGAAAATTACCATTAGAATAATTTAGGTGGTTGAATGGTATATTTAAAGCCTAATCAGTACTCTACAAAGAAAGTTGCCTACACTATTTTTTAAGAAAAAAAATAACACTAAGAAAAATCAATCAAGCAGTATTTTATAATAAAACTGGAATTTAACAGCAATTCTAGCTAATCACACATCAGTACTTAGTTAATTCAGTTTCGAACAGATTATAAACTTAAGCTATTTCTATGTACTTCAGTAAATTTCTGTCATTTTACACATTTACATATTTTGAGAATCCTTTGTATTCAAGGAACGTTCCTGGACATTATGGGAATATCATGATATCATGCATATATATGATATTTCTCTTTCTTAATGACAAGATAAAAATCCTACTGAAAAATAGGGGGTGCATTTTAAAACATTCACCTCTTTCTCTTTTAGAACACTTATTACTACATGATAGTATTTCCCACAAGATTATTTTTTATTTTACTTGAAGTTGGCAAAAATCTCTGTGCTGAATCCTTTGAGCATCACTCTAGTGATAGATGTCAGAGCAGCGTTGTGAGGAAGAACTTGTATTTGACAGGGAGATGACAGGAAAAAGCCTCTCTCCGAAATATAAGCTGCAACTGTAAAATCCTTCTGTGAGATTAATATCATCTTTTGTTCCGAAGTATAAGTGACTTATTCATTCTTGCTTAAAAAAATCTGTTCATGTAATTAATTTGAATAGTGCGAAATTAAGACACTTAAAGAGGTACATTTTAGGAGTTTTTTTCAAATATTTTATATGAATTAAATTTGAAATAGGTATATAATATAAATTGCCAATGATATTTTTTTAACTTCTAATATTTCTATAATCATCAACCAAGAACACTTTAAGATTCACTCACTGTACATATAGCATGTACTCTAAACAAGTAGCATCTTGGTAAGAGATTATTTTATTATGAATATATGATATGCAATACAATGAAAAAGTCTTAAATATTTACTTTTGTCCTATAAATCTGGCTATGATTTATTACAGTTTACTAGAAGCACTGCCTTAGTCTCTCTGGCATTATAAAATAATTTCACATGTCCCCTAATATCACAAGAAGAAGGAATAAAATCTTTTTTGACAAATTTAACATTCTGGGTGTCTTCCTTTCTTTCTTCCCTTATATCCCTCAAAAATAAATCAGGAGCAAAAAGATAGAATTCCATTATATATCCTATTATCTACAAATGCTATTCTTTATGTCTGAGTTAGAACTACCAGAAGCAAATCATTTTTGATACATATTAAAATGCTTGTCCATGTATATGTAATGCACATCTATTTAATGCATGAATAGAAAAGAAATTTATATCCATTCCTAGATCTAGGATTCTCGTTATAATATACTTCAAGAACTAACCAAAATTCTGCAATGTTTTCAGATGTGAGAGGAAAAAGGTGAAAGAACGGTGAGATGTCAAAGATAGATTGCTTGTTTTCAGATTTATTTTCATCTCTAGCTTTCTACAGGCCTTCACCTCAGTCTGTTCAGTTTTCTCTATAAAAGACAGATCTTTTCTGAATAACGTGGTTTGCTCTATCCTAGAAAAGGACATACATAATCACTTTTGCAGTTCTCTGTTTCTTTGTTTACTTTTCACAAGAATTAAAATCTCAAAAATAATACTATGTAATGGCCCAATCCAAACAATAAAACAATTATCACTTGATTTCTTAAAACTTTTTGTAAATGCACTAGATACATAGTTTATGCTTAGTAACACAACACTATTCAATCATGAAGAGTATTATTTTCTTAGAGTAGAATAAGCAAAGCACATTTAAGAAGTTTCTGGCTATTCACTGAATTTCATTCCTCAAACAATTTTTGGAGAGGCATAAAATAAGTACAAAGAGATTGAAATTCAAGATTTCATCTATATTACAAAAGCAAATTTTATTGATCTACAAACTCTAGTAATATTTGATCAGAAAGAGTTTACAAAATAATTTGCACAGTCATTGAGATTTAATGGAGTTGAAAAATTATTTATGTGTTTTAAAATATATGTATATATATACACACATTTATTGATTTCAGAGAGGAGAGAAGAGGGAGAAATAGATAGAAATATCAATGATGAGAGAGATTCAACAATTAGCTGCTTCCTGCACGCCCCCCAACTGAGGATCGAGCCCCCATGAGCCCTGATTGGGATTCGAACCATGATTTCCTGGTTCATAGGTCAGTGCTCAACCACTGAGCAAAACCGGCCAGACTATCTGTTTTTTGTTTTGTTTTCTTATATTTTTATTGATTTCAGAGAGGAAGGGAGAGGGAGAGATAGAAACATCAATGAGGAGAGAGAATCACCGATTGGTTGCCTCCTGCACACCCCCTACTGGGGATCAAGCCCATAACCCGGGCATGTACCCTAGACCAGAATCAAACCTGGGACCCTTCAGTGGGCAGGCCGACGCTCTATCCACTGAGCCAAACAAGCGAGGGCTATTTATCTGTTTTAATTGATATATAATTCACATATCATAAAATTCCCCTTTTTTAAAACATACATGTTTTGGATTGTTTACTACTGCTATTCAGAATGACCCCTCATAGAGGAGACTTGTAAATTAGCATTATAAAGTGTAATAAATAAAAATGTTATCTTACCTTACAAAGGAAGTTGATCTTAAAACCCAAGGACTGGGCATTTCTTGAGCCTGAGTTCATGTAGTTTCCAACCAAAAGAACTAACTCTAAAAGTCTGTTAAAGCTTTCACTTTTCTTCAGTTCTTCACAAGCAAGAGTTACTGCTATGATGCTTGGTTTGATGTTGTTTACATGTTCTTCAAAAGTGAGCTTGAAAAGAATGCTATTGAGACGAGGCCGCAACATTTTCACTGAGCTAATCTGTAAGATAAGAAATAGTCTGTTATTTCTCTTTCTAGTGGGGATAATTAAATAGACAATATTGTAAAATTTTGCATAAAATGAATTCTCCCTAGGTTTAAAAATATTATTTTTGCTTGGTTTAAACATTCCAAAAGAATATTTGTATGAAAGTTTAAAAAGTAGCTGTTCAGTTTTAAACAAATTAAATCATGCTCATAGCATTAAGATAATATTACTGAAGCTAAACTTTATGTTAATTGCATAATCATTAGTCATCAATAGCATTTAAACTGCCAAGAATCTGTCCTTGAGGTGAGCTATGAAAACTTACAAATATGAAATTGAGTTGATTGAATAGTTGGGTCACATATAAAAGATGTACATAATGACAGAAAATATGAGTGGAACCACATTTCCTAAGAAATTACCTATTAGTATGCTGTTTGAAATCAGAGGACTAGCTCTGATAGAGCATTTAATAATTTTTAAACCTATGATTTCTGTTCACAAAATATATTAAATATTGATATATGGTCTAAAGAATTTCACCTATTTCACAGAATGTTGATTTTAAATAATTATGTTTTGGTAAAATCACATGAACTTACTTTTCAGTACATTATTTAAGAATTCTATATTGGTTTTCTTCAAAACATTCCCAGTTAGGTCTTAATTATTTGTGTCATAGTACTGGTACATATGCTCTAGTCCCTTTGGTATTGCTCTTATGATAATAACTTCTTTTAGTCTTTAACTTCCTATAACTCCAAGTCATTTAACTAGTTTTCACTCACAAATAAATTCTGGGAGAGAGTTGAGGGAAAAGTAGATGCACATGAACATACACATGCACACACACACAATGAAAATAAATTATTAACAATCCTAATTATATTTATTTTCTGCACATGTAGCTTAGTTTCTTGAATATTAATTCCTGGCACAGTTTAGGCACTAAGATATCTGTAGCTAACAGGAAAAAAATGTGCAACATAAAAAGTCCTTAAACCACAAAGTACCCTTCAAAAGCATCAAATGAGCTGTAGAATAAGCCACATCTGCTCTAATATGGAAGCAAGGCATAGTCCATCATTTTTCTTCTTTGAAATAAACTTGCCCATTAACCATGGTGTCTGCCTCTCCAAAGATTAACCTTTGCCTTCTACCAATCCCCCTATATGCTTTCATGATTTTATAGACAAAGTGCACAAAATTCATGCACTGAGGGTCCCTCAGCCCGGTCTGCACCCTTTCGCATCCTGGGACCCCTCAGGGGATGTCCGCCTGCAGGCTTAGGGGTAGTCAGACATCCCTCTCTCAGTCTGGGGCTCTTGGAGTACGGGACCCCTCACTCCTTACCACCCACCTGCAGCAGAGGTGAGAGAGGCTCCTGCCACTACTGCTGTGCTCGCCAGCCATAAGCCTGACTTCTGGCTAAGCCAGCCGTGAGCAGTGCTCCCCGTGTGAAAACACACTGACCACCAGGGGGCAGCTCCTACATTGAACGCCTGCCCCCTCGTGGTCAGTGCTTGTCATTGCGACCAGTGATTCGATAGGTCGTTCTGCCATTCGGTTGATTTGTATATTAGGGTTTTATTATATAGGATGTATCAAAGTATGCTGGGAATATCTGCCTATTACTACACTGATATAGGTCTTATCACTTATCACTAGACTTTTTATATGATCAAGGTAATATTATATAAATCATCACACTGTTTCTTTAGTGCTCAGATGTTGGGTATAAGACATACCATCTTCTCAAAAAAGGTTCCAATAAAGCCTAAAACTCATAATCCAGTCACCTGAAAATTACAGCTAGTGATAAAACCAGCAGATGGCTCTAGGTGGGTAAACTGAAAGTAAGTGCTGAAGATGTTCACTGAAGGAATAGAAAATTTTAAGCTCTTATGACTACAATGTTTAATGAAGGTTTCACAGTAGAGGAATGCAAATGGATAATAAACAAACGAGAGAGAGAGAGAGAAAGAGAGAGAGAGAGAGAACAAACTGGGACCAAAAGGAAGATGTAGAAAGAATGGTTGTGAGAAAGGCTTATGATAGGGTAAGGATATATGAGGCATAAGACTAGGGGCAGAATTTAGACAAAAGTACCTGAAGAGCCCATGTAAAG